CGGCAATTCTTGGTACAAATGCTTAACATCTCAATCTAATTCTTGTAATCCTTGATCAAACATATCTTCACCTGAGGTTTTTTATATGTAACAAGCACAACGCGAACATGCCCTCTTAACTCATGTATAGTTATACAACAATCTCTCCTAAGTGGGGGTATGAGCGATCGATGTAACTTCAAACTTATCATGTTTGATATCGAACCTAAGGACGACCATGCTGTGACCTTCATTTTCTTCTAGGTAATTTGAATATCATGATTATTTAAATTGATAAAAATAGAGTTAAAATAAAAAAAATAAACTTTTTTGTGAGATTGATCATCAACTTAATAATCTATTTCTCAAATAAAATATTGTCATTGTTTTTTTTAACCCAGACTTTGGCCAAGTGATTTACTATTTTTGAGTTATAAATACATTAATCTAGTACAACATCTCTATTTATTAGTATCTTGAAGTCTTTAAAAAATGGGTGATCATTCAATTTGCAAAGGAATTTTACATATGAATTTACTTGTAATATGTCCATTAAATTTTTAGTTAACTTTACATTAAGTTTGCTACTTGTAACACTGTTAGCAATGTCATTACATTTTCTCTTTAAAAATTTCACTAGAATATGTCGAACGTTATTGTTAAGACTCATCGATAACAATATGTGGAATTTTGTGTTGTTTAAGACTCATCAATAATAATATAATTTAAATAAAGCAGATACAAGCTTTCATAAATATATTGAAAAAATGAACTATATAAGCAGCGGTAGGAAAACTTGAGAGGAAAAAAAAGGACTTGAAAAAGGCAAGTAAAAATAAATAAATTTAAAATGAGGAAATAAGGCTGGATGTGGATATGATTGTATCATATGTATTTGTACTTAAGAAGGTATTTCATATACATTGGTACTAAATAATAAGTGGCTTAAGTCGATGTTTCCATGCTCAAAACGTTTTATAGGATCACATAAGCAAAAGAATAAGGTAATAAGATCTGAAATACTTTGTGAACTGTCTTTGTCCTTCACAGATCACATCAAATCCTATCATGCATATTTTGGCATTTAGGGGACCGATGAACAAAGGCATATAGTTTTTAAGAAAAAAAATTAGCTTATGAGATATTAATGAGAAGGAACATATCGAGAATGAAATCATATCATAACAAAGATGCTACTACAAAAATCTCTACCTCTTTCTAAATATAAAGATCATCAGGACTCGAGAGTCTCCATTCTGCTTTCAAAATATGTTGAGTTCATGATATCTATAATATTGACAGACTAATGTGTGTAATTTGAACTGTAAGTCATAAATTTTAACATCAAATTTGAATAATCCTAATACAAATCAAACAAATAAAATAATATTTTGCTGATTCATTTTTAAATATGGGCTTGGTAATTTAGTGATTTTAATGTGTTATGGAAAATCCCATGATAAGCAAATATCAATCACACAAAAAACAAAGAAAATATAAACAAGATAATACACACAGGTAGTTCATGGTTCAAATCACTAATTCCAAATCACACTACAAGAAATCTAATATAATCTCTCTCAAGTGAAGAGGAAGCAAAGAGCTGATACAAATATCAGCAGTCAAATAATTTAATTATCTTATGGTTCAGAATATAGAGAAGAGTGATCTCTGTTCCAAATTACTATAGTTGTCTCAAATTTCTATCCCAGCCCATGATATATATAGCTACACATTTTTGATTTTCAGACTGTGCATAAAGTAAGAATTTTAATTCTACAATAAATTGGATTATAATCAAATAAGCTAGACAAAGAAACTTACTGAGATCATTTGAATTTCCTTATCAACATTAGCTAACATCCAATAGGAACGAAAACACGAATTTTATTAATAAAGATATAATTATTAATTAATATTAGATTACAATGTAACATCCAAAAAGTGTCAAGGTCAATAGGATATTTAAATTTTGTATTGGAAAATTAGGATATATTATGATTAAAATATAATATTCAAAAGAGTTAAGGGTAATATTGACCATGAAAAGTTTTTCCGAACTCATAATTTTAAAGAGGGCATGATAGTGGAACAATCATAATAATTTCTGAATAGAATGAGAAATGACATAACATGAGCGATATTAGTCTAACTCTATTATTTACTTTAATGTTCTTAGTACCCAAGTTATTTTCTTTTGATTGGATGAATATGTAGATGACACATTCCTGCCATTCTTAATTACTATAGTTAAAAAAAATTTGTTATAGACAAAAAGTTCTCATAGATCAATATGCATAACTTTGTAGCTCATTCTGTCATAGTTGTTACAGAAGAGACAACGTTCAACAACCTAAAACCATCATCTATAAGTATCTCAAAGAAGTGATGATGATACTAAAGTCTAAGGCGAGCGAGAATGTGCAATTGAAGAGTAGGTAGTCACATTATCATCCTGCGGTAAAGAAAACCATAATAAAATTTAATTTTTGTATGTGTTAAGATTAAAAAAGAAAGCCTTATTTTTATATATACCTCTTAAACCATGCATATTTGCAAAAATACTCTCAAATCTTAGTATTGATAAAATTGTCCCTAATCATCAATTGTAAAAGAAAAACATATCCCTACCCATCTCAACAATCCAATTCATATTAAATCCTAGCTAGTCTTTCATTTCAGCTCTAAAATCCTGAATTCACTAATCTCCACATCAATAAAAATTTTGCTGTTTTAGTGGGCTTCAAAGGTAAAGGTCTGACAAACATCAAAATTGGTAACCTTTTCATTTACATTTCATAAAGACAACAAACACCAAGCATTGTGTCATCACTATACCTTATTACTTAATGCTAACCTAAAACATTACAAATATTTATAGCAAATTATTGCCAATCTTTAATTTTAGTCTTACAACTCTAGATTCACTAATTTATACATTAGACAAAATATTATCGTTTTAGGATAAAGTTCCACCAATTCCATGGAGTGAGTCGATGAAATAGGCTAGAATCAAATATGGTAAACTGCTCAATCAAAAATTCCGATTCAATAAATAAATAAAACTTATAGTTCAAAACAATATACTAGCAAATACCATTATTGCTAAGTACAAAATAGCATACTACCACCGAAAAAAGTTAATTATGATTTATAATGGAACTTACAGGATGTTGCATCTATGGTCCATCAAATTTAGGGTAATCCTCATACTCGCCTGCTAGATCATAACCTAAAAATCTGCCCAAATTTCACAAACAACATATACCAAACATTATAACTAACACAATCAAAAATTATGTGAGTTAACTATTGTTAGCTAAAGATGACATCTAATAATTGCAGCAAATAATTTGTAATATGATCACAAAAACTGCAGGATACAATAGAGAAGAGACATCATATTTTGCCTCCATAAGTAAGGCGATGCATAACACAGAAGGGTGTTGCTGACCGGTCCATTGGCGGGATAGCTTCATTTTTCTTATTCTCACCATTCAATAGAGCATGTTTAATCAACTAAAAGGCAAAACATCAGTTAATATCTCAATTTGACTTGCACACTTTTATTATTTAGGAAAGGATATAACCTAAGAAACAAATAAATTTATAAGAAACCATATTAATCTTAACCACATATTTAATTAATTCGGGCCTCAGAAGCATCATGGGTCCTGGTCTTGGGCACCAAAGATAGCTTTTGCAATAAATCAATAGCATCTGTAATTCAAAAACCCTAAAAGAACACTAATCATCAACTCATCAAAACTCTTGCTTTTTTTTCTTATTGCTTTGAGCACAAAATTAATAAAAACTATACTCAACGCGTAAAGTCTCTTTCAAATTTAAACAATGACATATAATCAAAAAAATAAAAAAATGAAATGTCAAATCAATAATTAATCAGTAAAAAATTCTGTAAAAGCTTTATAGAAATTACAAACCCACATCTTAGATTGAATATCTAAACATAAACTCTAAGAAAATCCTAAACCAACAAACCCCATCATAAATCTTTCAAGAATAGAACGACCAAACCAAATCAAGATCTAAGAATAAGTAAAAAAGAAAATGAAAAGGAAAACATACATTCATTGCAGGAGTGACAACCAAAAATTCGAATCCTAAAAGAAAAACAGCCATTGCAAAGAGGTGAAGAAAACTCTTTCGATTCCATAAAAGAAGACAACTCTTTTTAGAGGTGGCGGGGGAGAATTATTTATCTAAAATTGATGCATTCAATAATTTGTAAAGATAGTTGTGAGGTAAATATTAGTGTATAGATTAGGGTGAGAATGTAATTAAATTTCTTAATTCCAATATAATCTAAATATAATTTGTTTCTTTATCTTTATACTATGTATATCTACTAAGAATTTATTAATTTCCTAGGCTAATGATGGATTAGTATTAAAAATTCAAATTTGATTAGTGATAGGATAGTTCAAACTTTATAGGGGTATTTTTGTTTACCAAAAGATTTTCCCTGTTTTTAAATGGAGTATGATACTAATTTATTTTTTCAGATATACCAGTTAAACTATAAAGTCAAAATTAGTTTTGTACTGTAAGATAAAAAAAATACAGAGTCATTATTGACTATAAATGTTAATACTAATTCTTAACGTAGGACCTTACCTATCTGTTTGTTGCAATGCAAAATTAATTTATAATCTAGTTAGTATAATCCATTAATAATGGCTAGAAAAAGTTCATTTTTCAGAAGAGGTATCACATTTTCTCCCCAAAAGAAGCCTCTAGAAAAAGAAAAACATTAATCTCATAAATCTAAAATCAATTGGCATTTATCTCGAATGAAGTTCATTTTTTTCCCTCTTGTTTAGGGCCCCTAAAGATCTCTCTCCCGATACATGTCCCTTTCTCACCGTCTCCTCCAAGGCAATCTCATCACAATCACCCGATTCATCCCAGACGTCCAAATACCCCAACCCCATCCAAATCAACGGTCCATATTCTCCAAATAATAATCACAACTTATTAAGCGAGAAAAAACCCATGAAATTAAAACTCCTCCAAAAAAACCACTGGAAATAGAAGCAGAGAACTCCAGAATAATAAACTGGTAACCCTTCTAATAAACTAGAATAAAGTTTCTGTCTTTATTATTTGATTGATTGCAACAGTGCATAGTGAGTTTCAATTGGGGTGTTATTGAGAATCAATTCGTTTGCTAATGGAAAGGATCGCGTCCACTGCAGTTTCTTCAAAATCCCTTTTTGGTTGGCAACAGGTGATAAAAAACCCCATCTTTTGTCCTTCTAGTGACAAACTTTGTTGAGTTCTGACTTGGGGTTTGTTCTTTTCTTCTGTAGCCTGTTTTTTAATCTCTCTATCTCGCTCTCTCCAAGCTTCTACAGTTCTGAGTTCGGGGATTTAAGGTGTGGCTTCAATTTTTGTTTTTTCTTTTAATTTTTAATGATGATTTTTGGGATTTGGAGACGTGGGTGTCTCTTATTTTCATTAATTTGTTAGTTTCATAGACTACATCTTTAATTTGGGTGATTTAGCAGTTTTTTTGGTTTATCCATGGAGCAATTTTCTTAATTAATCGAAGGGTATATTCATTTGGAAATTGTGCAATATTGATTAGGTAAATTTGTCCATAGTGAATTAAATTAAATATTGTATTTTGTGGTAGCCCAATTGATACTGATGAATGATAATTTGATGTTTTGCTATATTGTAGCTGCTACCTCTTGTATTTTGCAGTTCAACATGAATGTCTTGAAATAGGGTTGATTGATGGTATATGACATTAGATTAACATGCTTATATATGTGGTATTTGTCTATGTGCACTGCATGTTTGAAGTGCATACGCTTTGCATTTCTATATGGTGAATGTAACTTTTATACCTTATTCACTCAATGCAACAACAAGAGAGATGGTCCTAAAATTTTCAGTTGGCATATTGTTAATGCAATCCTTAGATTAAATTGTGATCGAGTATGCAGATAAAGGCAGCAGTCTGGATGTTGAATGAACGAGCTAAAATTGTAGTCTGGATGTTGAATGAACGAGCTAAAATTGTGTTATCTAGTTGTAGAATCAGTATTATATAACTATGTACTGTCGTCTCCTTTTGCTGATGTCAGGTGGCTAGACTTGGAATTTAAGAGAAAATGAGATTACACTTATTGATGTTATATAATCATATTAGTCATCAATGGTGGAAATGCAAGATGGATATTCTGTTTTCAACCACAATCTTCCAACCAAATCTTTATTTGGAGTTTCTTGCTGCTTGCTTACACTTTGTTTGATGCCAATTCATTAAACTTAGAAGCTTGACTCTAGTTTTGTAACAAAAGAACAACAAAGAAAGAAAAGGATGGGGTGGGTGGGTTGGGGGGGGGATNTAATTGTTATTGTTACAAGTTATACATGTGTACGGGCAATCTAGTATGAATATGCTTGATGTTTCATTTAAGATAGCTATATTCTGTTCTTTTAGGGTTTCTACTGATTTGATGTGTGGTTCCAGACATAATTTATGATGCAGGCTTCCAGAGATTCAGTTATGGCGATCAAGACTTATAGATACCAGGCAGAGTTGCTTGTTAAGGACTACTTGCTTGCGGATCCATTGGTCCCATACACTTTATAGATACCAGGCAGAGTTGCTTGTTAAGGACTACTTGCTTGCGGATCCATTGGTCCCATACACTTCGGTTTTGTGTGGGATTTTCATGTGCAAGATGGTACACCTCATATTGCAGTATTAACGCGTGAATCTAGTAGTTTAAAGTTCCTGCTTTTTAGAATATAGAAATATGCATGTTGAGCGAGAAAATATAAAAATGAAATATGATGAAGGTTGCCTTGGAAACATTAGGGAATGTCCTTGATTTTTATGTTTGATTTTTATCAATTTGAGTATCCATAACACCATTGGCAAGTATAACAACAAATAGGTGCTATTTTAGATGATTCCATGAAATTAAACTAACTTCTCTGGTCGAGTATACAATTTAATTGGAATTACCATCAATCGGCTCTTCTTCCCATCAAACTGGCAATTACTGTGGGCCAGTGAGAATCTTTGGGCTGAGTTAAATTGTGGACTTCTAACTTCTGATGGATTTGATGAGTTGGTGTTGAGATTTAAAAAAGAGCTACTCTAGTTATAAAAGAAGTCCCTGATAGCTAATTTATCTTTTAGAAAATGTAACTTTGTTTTTCATTTAGCTTAATCTCCTACAAGTGGACAGCACGTAGCATATCACTACAAGTGCCTTAAACCATGGGAAACTTTAGATGTGAAGGAAAGAGGACGAGGGTTTGCTAAAATAATTTTCAATTTGTCCGTGAGGCAAAATTTTAAGTGAAAAGTCGGGCACAAATTATTAGAAAAGAGAAAAAAATGCATACTTATTTTTTGGATCTTTGACATGTATGCACAGAAATGCTCTGAAACGCCTGGGTGTTGGAAATTATTATGTCAAAATTTTAGAACAATTTAGTAAAATGGTCAATAAAACAATGTGTTTTCTTTTTTGGTCAAAACGTCGAATAACATACCTTTATCTTATACATGCTTTAAGGTGAATAGTGTCTAAGTGTCATAAATGATTGACATTTATGTTATGTCCTGACGTACCAACATCCTACAGATTGTAGCCTGGGATATAATAGCTAGGATATAAAGTTAAGTAATTGTAAGTTAGACCTTTATTTCGGCTTATCTCTAAATTTTGAATGGAGTTATTTGTTATGAAGGAATTTCAAAAAATGACTTTTCATTTAAGGGCTTCAAGGCTTTTTCATTCTCACAGTAAGTCATCTGTTGTTGTGCAGGCATATGACATCACTCAGTTAATTAGTTCTTTCTACTTCAAGGGTTATTCTTCTCTAACGAAGATCCAACGGATTGAGTGGAATAATCGGTAGGGAATTTGGTGTATTTCTGTACCATTTTGTAAGTTTTTTGGATTTCACTATTCGTTTATTTAGAACTTTCTTTTGCAGGGGTATGTCCAGCGCCCATGCGGTTTTTATCACAATAATGTCACTATACCTAGTATTCTTTTCAGATCTATTTTCTGATCGTTATGAAGGATATGTCACACTAAGAAGTTCAAATCTTTCTAATTTCACATTGGGGGTCGGTAAACCAACTGCATCATATTAACATCCAGATATTTATCTTTTGGCATTGGATCTCGATACTAATGTAAATGGTTTACTTTAACAGGTTTCAGTTGGGTATTTCATCTCTGACCTTGCAATGATCTTTTGGTTATATCCTTTACTTGGTGGGATGGAGTATGTAAGTACTTTCTTAGAATTTGGTTCACTTATCATAAGTTACAGGATGATTTAACATAAAAATGGGTGTTTTTTCTTTCAGGTTCTTCATCATTTGCTCTCTCTTTGTGCTATAACATATGCCATGATAACTGGCGAAGGACAGTTATATACTTACATGGTGCTGATATCTGAGGCAACCACTCCTGCGGTTAATTTGCGATGGTATATCTAGAGAACTTAGTAGAAAAAAATAATTCAGAAACTTTACCATTTTGCACTTCAATTTGTTGACACTTGCTTTGTCTATATTGAAGGTTTCTTGACACAGGAGGAATGAAAAGATCCAAAGCATATCTTATTAATGGTGTTGCCATGTTCTTCGCTTGGCTGGTATGCTATGAGAACATGCCTTTGTTTATCTCAAAGGCAAAGGATATTTGAACAATGATCTTTTCCTTTATTTATTTTAATTTATGTTTTAGAATACCTTGACTTTTATGCGAAATGCAAATATGATTGACTGAACAACTTCATCATGACTAAAATTTACCTAAATTAGGCAATACATTACAAGTTCAACAGTTGAAATCAGTGTAAAGATATGGATTTGTCATTTCTTAATTTGAATATTCTTACAACGCGTTATACCAGCTTGGTATTATGTGGAACTGTTGGGGGCATAAGGGATTAGGATGAAGTTCTCAATTTTAGAAGGAAAGTAGATATTTTATTTTAGAAAAATTATATATTTCATGGAAAGAACCACTCATTCAGCAATGATATTGTGCGAGGACCATGAAAACCTTACTATATCAAGTCTATGATATCAATTGAAATAGTCGAGGAAACACCTCTAGCCCTTGCGTTGTAGACACTTATTTTCCGAGGTCATACAATTCCCACCACCAATAACCCAATAACAAACTCCTGATTCTTGGCAATCTAACAAGTATTGTTTTAGATAAGTTTGACAGCTGACAAAAATGATATGGCAAGAATTAATGGTGTTAGAGATAGGCCTAAGTGATAGATTAAGAAAGGGTTAATTGTGGATAGACCCACTATACTATTTTTAAATTGAACTTACTGCCCTTGTAGTTATATTGTTGTAGATAAACCCATTAAAGAATTCTATTGTTGCAGATAGACACCCTGAGTGAACATCTATTGTTGCAGATGGACCTCCAGAAGAGGGTAAAAATATCTGCTGAGGGGGTCTATCTGTAGAACTGCATGGGTAGTAACCTCAAATGTTCAATTTGGCGATAGTATTGGGGGTCATTCCACAATGAACCCTATAACAAATGAGTGCATAGGCCTAAGAGAACTTGGTTGGAAGCAAATAAGAAGAATATGGTAATTGGTAACATAACAGAAGAGATGACCCTTAGGAGAATTGAATGGAAGGATATGATTCATATAGCTGACCTAAAATTTTTGGGGTGAAGGCTTTGTTGTCGTCGTAATTGTATAGAAACAGTTGGACCTTATTTATGTGCCTTGTAAGTTATAAGCAGCTATGGGTCATATCATTGTTCTGACACTTTTTTTTTTAACTCAGGTGGCCAGAATTATTTTATTTATGTACTTGTTTTACCTCATCTATGTGCACTATGATCAGGTACCAACCATGGTTGTAACTCTTTTCAAAATAATACCACCTTCATGTATTTTGCCATTTTATTTTTAAAAAATTTCATCACTTTCAGATCGAGCAGATGCACAAGTTTGGTTACCTATTGGCATTTGTGGTGCCTATAGCATTGGCAATCATGAACATGATGTGGTTCACAAAGATACTAAAGGGGCTCAGGAAACAATTAGCTAAAAGGCGGTGAATAATGAGAAGTAGTGTAGCACCCCATGTATTATAAGCAAATCCTTTTATCTTCTTCTGTATAGAGGAGTGAACATATTTTTAGAGTGAGAAGGAAATCAAATGCAGCCAATGACCAAGGGAAAGCCCTCACAACAAAATTTTGGTCCTTGGTGTCACACTGGTACTTTATGTGAATATTGTTAATATTATGTCAGGGCTTCTTTCCAACCGTAGGCAGTGTTGAGCATTGGGTTAAAAATCTGAGGATATCGTGTTGAATCATTTATTTTTTTGGACATTTTGATGGCTAATCTTTGAGGAAAGGATTGATGTATATGGTTTGTGATTCTAAACGATGCCTCTCGCGATGGCAGAGTTTAAGCTGGGCAAGCCAGCAAGCCACAAAATAATGGTACAAAATGTTGACGGCATCAAGAGTTGGTACGCACATCGCATGAAACTGGGAAGCACTTGGCTAAATGTCATGAAACATCAAAATAATTAACAGAAAACAGAGCATTTGGATTGATCATTTACTATTTACATCGCAGTTCTTAGTGATACCTTATAAAGCATCGCAAGCTTGTAGTCATGGTTTTCTTGTCTGTCAGAAAATGGAACAAACACCAAGTTCTCCACTATTTGAGACATAAATATTCAACCCTTCAGAGCAGAAGGAAAAAAATAATCAAAAAAAGAAAAGAGCTACTAAATTCCTGCAGAGGATTCTGACTTCTTGCCACTTCTTGAAAGCTTCTTGCTTGTATGATATTGGCTGAATCAATCTGACGGACTCAAACAGACGAAGGCAACATATTATTTAAGTACTCTCAGATCAATTATTGCTTAATCCTCATTACCTCCGAAGCAATTAACTCTGTCCTAAAGACAATTGTTCTCCTGTTATTATAGAACTACAAGCCATAAAAGTAGCAGAGTTCATCTTCCATTGCTTCCAGGAATCCTGAAACATGGCCTTCTTCGACGGTTATCTTGTCTGCCATTGATGCCATTATATACTATCTCACCTGTTTCTCAGTACCCTTTGCTTCAATGAGCGCCCCCCCCCCCCCCCCACCAACCACACACACACACACCACACACACACAACCTTCATATATTATAGAGGAAAATTGCTTCAACCCCAAAACAACACAGAACGTGCTCTACCCCCCCCAAGACCTTTTCAACGTGCCTTTTACCCCAAAACCGCCCCGATTTTCTTCCAGCCCCCAAAACGAATCCCCAGGCCACCTTCCGTTTAAACACCGCTCGAAATGCCTCAAAATACCCTTCGCAGCATGTGTTCGTCGCCCTCTCACCGACGAAACCATCGTTTTCGACTGTAGGCATTAAATGGTGATATGAATGACTTTTTTGGGGGGAAAATTCCCATTTCCTCCAAAATTTATCATCAGATATTATCACCAGCTATATCCCCCTTCAAGCTAAGTTGTTCCTTCACTTAATTATCCTAATAAAAGCCTCTTCGATTCTTCAACCACTCCCTGTAATAAAATGGCGGACTGGATCTCTTCTATGCGTCGGTAACGAAGGCCAAAAGCAACAAATGTGGGTGACGGTTTATTCGTCGTTATCAAAGAGAATACAGAAATAATCAGCTTGAACTATCGAGTGGCGGAAAGGCTTAAAATACCAATGCAATCTCTTTCACGAAGTTCATATGCGAAAGGGAAAAGAAATTCAGCATTTCAATTGACAAATGACGACGACTTAAATTTGATGTTCGAGTATTGTCGGCGTAATGGATTTACAGACCGCGAATTTGTATGCCACCTCCGCTCGGAATCCTCAACTTCGCAGAACACGCAGACTACGCCGGAAACTGCGTAGGAATTACATCCAGATTTCCTTTGAGTTCACTGATAGGTTTTGCATTAGTTGTTAACCTCATGCATTGGTTGCTTTGGTAATGTGTTGGCTGTCAAGGTTATGTTAAGCACTGGTTGTTAAAGTTATTTGTTGGCCTGTTACGTATACTAGTTGGTTGCTAAGTTATGGTGTTGATGTTAAGTATATGCGTTTGTTGTTAAGTCACGTAGTCCCTTAAGTATAAGGCGCTTAGTTAGTTAAGGATATGTGTTAGGTTGCTTACGTTTATTGCAGTTCGTTGTTAAGGTTATCAGTTCGTTGCTAAGGCCTAGTATTTGATTATATACTTTCAGGACAATACCGACAGAAGAATGCACGGTGCGCAGATTACCCCGTTCACCCAAACCTGTAATGAAGGTATTCTAATGACAAACCCCACCGCGCCGTACTCGATCATGCCTGCTGAAGACATGCCTTAATCACCACAACAAAAATCCAGCTGGAGTGGCACACCATCCATACGCCTGAAGTGTTGGTTCAGAAATTTATAGTGCTGCTGAAGTTAGATTAGCCACTTCAATACTATTCAATGCTACAACGATCGCAGTATGATTTTTACCACAATGAACAAGACGACGCATAAGAGTTCTAATGCCATGTCAAACAACCACATGGTTGGCCCTTGAGAGTTTTGTGTGTTCCCCGCTCAGAAATTCGTCTATCATGTCCATAAAGAATTTCGAGCTCTACCCACACCTGCGGCTCAACATGAGCAAATCTGGCAACTCAAGGGCATCAAGGAAGTTTCATTGCTATGCCAAATACAAGCTGTTTGAAGTTATAGGCCAGACTTTCTGCGGTCGAATCAAGAACGCACATGCTCGTCTAATTTGGCATCAAGTTAACTACAGTAAAGCGTGGTGAGCACAAGAGACAGCTCAACAGACCTGTCCGGTGACGATGATGAGCGCTACGCATTCCACTGAGATGCGTCCTTATCTTTTTTATTCTTCTGAAATCACTCTTACCTTTTGGTTGCTAACTATACGCTAGTAGTAGTTAAAGTTGCCGCGTTTTCGACGTTAAGTGACTTGTTGGTTGCTCTAATATACGATTAGTTGTTAAAGTTATTGGTTCGTCGTTAAGTTATACGATGTTGTGTCGTGAAGCTTGCAAGATCATTTGTTATCGCTTATGAATCCTTTCCGCTAAAGTACTGCTTGTTGTTTATCATGCAGGTATGAAACCATGGTGCCATGCAACTAACTCCAGGGAAGTCGTGTTGTTATTGATGCTGCGATGACGCGTAGGTTCGAGGCGACTGCTTCATTAGATTATAATCCTGCATTGAAGGGTTCATTGCTGCGGTGATAGGCCTCTAATTGTTTTGCGATGGAACCATTTATTAAAGCATCGTTAAGAGCGCATACTACTAGCTCTACTGGTATGACGGCAACCAGCGAAGATTCTCCCCTAGCTTATTGTCGTATGGCTACCAACGAGAATGGAGGTTAACTGGAAATGGTTCTTACAAGGATTTATTGGACGCTATACTGTATGATAGCGCGAAAAATCCTTACCAACCTCCACATCGACTGTAATGCATTTTCAGACGCACAAGCGGTATCAGCGGCCACCAGCGAAGGAATTCTTTCCAATGCAGTTCCATTCAAGGCAGTGTGTCTGCATCAGTCGAGAATTTCAAAAAAAAGATGAAGGATTTTCGGCACAAGGCAAATGATCGCCGACTACGGCTGCTGCGCAGCGGCTTACAATCTGCGGCTATAAGCTTCACAATATCTGAATGGGATACATGACAGGAAAGATGGCAGCGAGTCGCATCACAGGGCTTATGCACCTGTCAATGGAATACTCCCCGGGCAGGATGGCAAACGCCGCATTTTCCTCGTATTAAGGTAAATAGCTTGGGTCCCGACGTAGTATTTTGTACAGCAACGTTATAGTTGTTAAAGCGTTAGAGTTCATCACTACAGTTTCTGTTAAGGTTAGATTTTTATTGTTATGGTTAGAGTTTTAGTCTGCCTAGGGTTTTGCTGTTAAGTTTATGGATTATTTTTGTCTAAGTTAGCCTTTAATGTGTTTAGTTTAAGGAATTATTCTTATTGTTAGTGCTTTGTTGTTAAGCGTATCTGGCCATGTTACTTGCAAACGTGTGCTGAGTCCTTCAACAGCCTGCCGATAAGAAAGCCACATGTTGCGAATCTTACCTTTGGTTGCAGACCATACGGAAGCAAATAATGGAAGCCATGCATTGAAAAGAGGCATTGCGTCAGAAGATGGTCTGGATACCTATTGCCGGAAGCGGAGTTTGGTTGCTGAGTTATACATTCAGGCATTGGTAGCTGCCTGTGCCCGATTAAACATTTCGACGAAGCATATTTGGAAGCGAGTCAATATAAAACTTTGCCGCGAGCATTTAGAAGAATCTGGACTTGTTCTTGCCAGCGTCTTTTTTCTGGGACATCACCCGATTCCCTGAAACATGCGTGCGCCTCGTGCAATTACATGGAATGGCGACGAGAAATTTATCAATATTGCCGAATTGCGCTAACAATGACTGTTGTTGCGTTTCAGAAGCCAAAGCTATGCACCGATTCATCTATCCCATTCCCAGATTACCGGACAGAAGCGCTTGTACCGCCAGAGAGCGAGTTTGAAGCCTCCTCTCACCAAAAAAAAAGACGTGGCAAGACCATGCCCACTAGACGAATAAACATACAGTTCGCCTGCAACACCCGACCGGTTAAGCTCTCTCGATGCAACATGGAGGGTCACAATCGTGCAAGCCTGTAACGAGCCTATATAGTTTTAGCCTTTTATTGTTCAATGTCATATGGCATTTGTTGTCCTGATATATCAGCTACAAGTGAGAATGGTCATAGCTTGACGTTGTTAAGGGTTGATAAAGCTTGCGTTTGTCAAGTTTGCACTTTAATGTGACTTTGACTTGCGTAGTTAAGGTTATTACTGCGTTGTAAAAAAAATAAAAAAACAAAACTCTTTATCCACTTAATGTGAAGTTTTGATTATGGTTTTAGTATTTTTTCGTTGTCAAATTTATCACTTTAATGCTTCAAAAGTTTTTGATAATTGTTATGTTTTCTTTGGTGTTAAGTTTTTGATAATTGTTATGTTTATGATTAATGTTAGCCCCTCTTGTGGAGAGCGGTCCCTGTGCTGTTATTCAGCCAGCGTTGGTTGTCAACCGTCACCCGGCTATATCTCGCTACTGCCATTCAATTTCTCCTAGTCCCAAGGAGGTGAGGTTAATATAACCTTGAACACCTACCTATCCCCACATTCCACGCGCGCAACACCACCATCCTTCGCTGTCATACTACAGGATAGCAAACCTTAACAACCAATACAACACGATAGCTAACATTCACAAACAGGAGCAGGCCTAACCAGTTAGCAAACCATTCCAAGTGTTTGACAACAGATAAGCTAACATTAACAACCAATTCAAAGCCTTGACAATTAACAGCTTACCTTAACAACTAGCATAGCTAACCCTGATTGTTAACGGAATCCATAAGTTGCACAACCAATCCACGATCTAAACAACAAAACATAAGCTTATCAATTCCGACCCCTGATTTCTCAACCAATAAACTATACAGAGAGCTAAACGTTACAACAAGAGCGTACAGATAGCTACGATTCACAAGCTTTCAACAACAGATAGCTAAACCTTAGTAACCAATACATAAAAATGACAACAGACGCTAACTTTAATCAATAAATCAACAAGCCTACAACAAGAGTCAACCTTAGCAACCTCCATAAAACGGAAACTTAACAAACAGTCAATAACCTTAACAGTGATCCAAATATTCTTGATGAAAATCGTTAAACTTAACAAACAACATGTATCCAAAAATAATTTCTTTACAATGAAACTTGCTACACCTTATTGAACAAACAAATAAGCCTAATTCACAAACCCGCCTAAACTCAACAAATAAGCTTGAATACACGATGACTACAGCAGATGTATTACCATTGTCGCTACTATAGTGTCCATAACCGGCGTGGTGAATATAACTGGCCTCCCTTCAATGAGCTTGCTGACAATAAAAAGATAGTTAAAGATTCATAGGTGCCGTTGGAATATGATCAATTCAGAGGATCAACTGTGTGATGCCACCTACGGAAGGCATGCATGCTGTTGTAGATAGTCCTCTGTTAACTTTACACTGTATAGTAACAGTGTTAACGTAAAAGCCAGAGGACTATCTCCACCAGCTGCATGCCTTCCTAGTGATTCACACATTGATTGCAGCTGAATTGATGGTATTCCAACGACCTATCAATCTTAACATCTGTTTATTGCTACAACGCTCGTTGAAAAGAGCCACATGCATTCCACCACAGCCTAATGGAACTAAGATCAAACCCGTTCCAGGGTTGGTGTCATTCAATCAGCGTGAGGATACCAAGCCATCTTCATCATGTCGCCACAACCTCAGTCGCCATGACCTTCATCGCGCGCTTCGTCAGCGACATCCAGTGAGACATAGCCCGTTGATCTTCGCGGTTTTCATGGCGAGAGAGAACTAGGAAAGGTTTGGGGAGAGAGTAGCTTTTTTTATAGAGGGGTCAACAGAGAATAAATCGATAGGGCGACGATCGAGGAAATGATTGCTGTCGAAAGATTCTGCGCTAATCTGAGGCTGAACACGCGAAGGATGTGAAGTTTGCCCGCCGATGGAATGTGGGGGTAGGTAGGTTTTCAGGTATATTAACTCCCTCCTGAACTAGAAACATTGAAGCCAGTAGCAGAGAATATACGCCGGACCGTGAGCAACCACAGCTCCTGAATAACAGCAGAGGGACCTCTCCACATGATTCAATAGCCACATGCATGCTGGCTCCCTTTAATGAACTTGTTCAATAGCCACATGCACTTCACCCACAGGCATTCACCCACAAGCTATTCTGTTAAGGTTAATTAGTGTCTGTTCTCAAGCTATGTGTTGGTGTTAAGTTAGCTCTCTGTTGTTAAACTTATGGAATGGTACGCTAACATTAGCTCACTTTTTGTAACGCTTAGCTCTCTGTTGGTAGGCTTATGGATTAAGAAAGATCACGGGGTCGTCGTATATGCTTGATGTTATCGTTTTGTTATTAAAAGATCATGGACTGGCTGTCAACGGTTAATGTGCTGGTTGTCATGCTTATGCATTGGTTGTAAGCGTTAGCGCCTTTTTAAGGTTATGGTTGGGTTCTAAGTTAATCTGTTGTAGGTTAGGTCTCTGTGTCAAGTTATGTATTGGTGTTAAGCGTAGATTTCGTGTTAAACTTATGAATGGTAGCTAAATTAGCCCTTTGTTGTAACGCTTAGCTCTCTGGTGATGTTATGTTTTGTTATAAAGATCATGGACGGCTGTCAGGTATTGCTGGTGTTCATGCCTATGGAATTGGTTGCTAAGGCTTAGCGCCCTACTGTTAAGGTTAATGGTTGGTTGCTAAAAGGTTAGAGTCCTGTTGTTAAGGTTAGTGCTCTTTGTCAAGCGTTATGTATATCCTCTCCTT